TGTACTCTGCGCGATGCATTGACTTTACGGAAGAAATCAGGTTGATTTTATCTATTTTTGGTTTTATTCTGTACCGACCGTTTTCTTGAGTTTATTTGGTTTTGAGATCTTTGGCTGATTATGTTAAAGTATTTGTCTTAAGGATCATGCATTTTCTTATAACTGCAAAAATACAAACGTTTTAGTTTGAGGGGATTCTTGCTGAGAAGAGTTTCATGAAAAGCATTCCTAATAATAAAAAATAACGATCTTCACAGTTGAAGGTTTTTTTTTGTTGTGTTCTAATATATTTTTTTCCCCTTTTCTTGTTTAAAAGCACGTTTTGTATCAATTAATGGAAACAGAGGAGTGTTTTACTCTGAGTGCTGGAAACCAAATGGAAGCACCCTGTACCTGCCCTTCACAAACAACATCTTGGTAAACATGGACAAATATGACCAGATCAGCATCGAAGAGGGCTCCTTTTTCATAGGCAATAATTCCGGAGAATGCCTTCAGAAAATGCAAGGTGTGTTTACTTTTTAAATTTCACTTTGCTCAGGATGTTCGAAACGATTTCAGGGCTGAAATACACAGCGATATTTCATGTGAAATGACCGATTGCCTCACCTGAGTCGTAACAGCATACAACTTTTTTTTTGCTTTGAGTAATTGTTTTAAGTACTTTATGGAAATTCTCAACCGCGGTCCATTAATGCCACTGAAGATCACAGTGTTCTCAATCAGTAGTAAAAAGAAACTGTCCATTGAAGAGAAACTTGAAACCGAAGCAGTTATATTATGTTACAAGTTACTTTGATTCTACAAGCTGTGATTTTAAATTAGGTACCTTTAAAATTTGACTTTGCCATGGACAAATCAGGTTTCTTTAAATGAAAGGAGGTTTAACTTTTTTAGCTTTAATGTAATAAGTAGTGCATCGCACACCTCTGACATCCATGTTAAGGACTATAAATAAAACGAAGGACCAGTGTGCTTTGATTGCAACTTGTAGTGAATGTAGTGTCACATATATTCTTTGCAGTAGCTTTATTATTAATATGACAAAACCTGCTGAACCATCAATGTTGTTGTTTTTGTCCTTCATTCGTAGGTCATGCAATGCATTGTTGGCGATATAATGACCAGGAAAAGAAACTGTTTATAGCACTATCATATTTCTTTGTCAATCCATCTGTAAGTACGCGATTTTTATTAATTTAAAGGTTTCTGTAGACACAGAATTACTTGAAAGCAGTCTTTCATTGCCTTTCCAAAGACAACCCCTGTTTTTGAGTGTTTTTGGGGAAAGAAAAGAAAAATGCTGGAGAATATTCATTTTAATTTCTCCACAACTGGTGTTATTCATATGAAGTTACACGTCGAGACTTGTGATTTTAGCAGTGTGATTTATGCCTGTGTAAATAATCAAGTTGTCTGTGACAAAGTGGTCTCCGTCAGAATTACAATAAGGTTAATAAAAGGCTTGAAGAACACTTATCAGGGACCTTAATTTTCTAAGTGTCAGCTGTCAACAATGAAAAAAGTTTTTGCTTCACTACTTAAAACTACAGTCATAAAGCAAAGAACAATCTTTTTCTTAATAAAGAACCACATGTGCTTATGAATTTAAATGTAGTATTACAGAAGGTAATGTAAAATAGTTTACAGTAGATCTCCAAACCTAGACCTGGAGAGTCCCCATCCTGTTTAACCGTTTTACAGGTGTCTGTGGTTTACTGAACTTTACTGAAAATTGTTCACTAAAGTTAGTATTTACTAATTAAATCACTAAGGGTGCAGCTTGAATAAAATCTAGATCTCATGGCCTTACAGGGGTAGAATCTTTAAGGGATGATTACAAAACTAGGAAAGATTGAAATGCCATTAAGCCTAGCCATTTAGCCTTATTCTAAAAATATCTACTCTGGATCTAACGTGATCAAGCCCAACATCTACTTTAGCCTTGTCAGAGAACAGAACCTTAAAATATGCCCTGAATTTCAGTGAAGATAATTTCAAGACAACAGGATAAACTAAAAAAAATATCTACTCTGGATCTAACGTGATCAAGCCCAACATCTACTTTAGCCATGTCAGAGAACAGAACCTTAAAATATGCCCTGAATTTCAGTGAAGATAATTTCAAGACAACAGGATAAACTAAAAAAAAACAAACAGAAATACTACTAGAGCATAATTAGCCAGATATATTATCAGGAGTGATTGAGATGAATAAATCACAATGGTTCAAGAACCAGAGTGGAACCCATGATTTTGCTGCATTCATATCTTTTATGTTATTCGTTATAACTTTTAAGTTATTTATAACATCTACTTTAGCCTTGTCAGAGAACAGAACCTTAAAATGCCCTGAATTTCAGTGAAGATCATTTCAAGACAACAGGATAAACTAAAAAAAAAAACAGAAATACTACTAGAGAATAAGAAATTAGCCAGATATATTCTCAGGAGTGATCGAGATGAATAAATCACAATGGTTCAAGAACCAAAGTGGAACCCATGATTTTGCTGCTTTCATATCTTTTATGTTATATGTTATAACTTTTAAGTTATTTATAACATCTTTCCATCTCTTGCAGGTGTTCCAGGAAGTTGTATGTTCTCTTGATGGGCTGTGAGAATTCAGTGTTGCAACATCTGTGATGCAGCATTTACTCAGATACCAGTGATCAAAAACATTTAAGATTGATCTAAATATACTACTTACCTGTATATAAGTTTTTATGAGAATCACTTGGCTCAGATATGCACTGCTATAACTGTAAGATAACTTGATTGTGATTACACTGTCACTTTATACACAATTAAGAATTTCTTTCTGCAGAAGTCCATGTACAATATGCACTGCATTTTATTTTCTTTAAGGACCCAAATGGATCAATATAGTACCAAACTTGTGAAGCCCTTGGTGACAGCTCTGCACTGTGGGCTTGGCAGCAGCTGAGAATGCTTTGTTCACCAGCTCTTTAGTGTAGTGTAATTTTTTGCATTTTAATATTTTATACTACTTTAATAAGTGACTATTTGTAGTACAGTTTCTTAATGTTGATTTACACCTTCCACTTTTGCAAACTTACATTCTGATAGTCTGTTCAATGAGCAGTGTAGTTTAATGGAAGAAAAAGGTTTGACTTTTGACTTGAGAAATGCAAAAATGGGTTGAAGTACCGGAAAAGGTTTCTCTAATCCCATTATTGTAAAATAGGGGGAATATTGGTTTAAGCCCTAAGAACGTTTTTGTGTAGCAGTATTACATTAATAATATAAGTACAGTGGTTTATTTAGAATCATAGATGTTTATGGGTTGAAACAAGAATTCTTTAAGCTTATTACATGTGCTGTTTCCATGTTGTTTTTTTATATTTTTTGTATTTTTTTATATTGTTATAAATAATCAGTCAATGCTTTGGAAACTGTTGTCTTTTCATTTAAAATTGAACAATATTAATTCAAATAACATGTGACTGCGTTATTTAGAAAGCATCTAATTATAGAAAATATTCAACAAATATACTTTGTTGTATATTTGTGAGATCTGAAAACTGAATGGTGATATGTTTGTGATGTTAGGCATTTAAAGCATATCTCTACTACTGTATGTTGTTACTGATCTTAGTAATTATGAACTAGGGTTTGTTCACAGGAGAAATGTCTTATCTTCAAACAGAAAGGACCATCTGCTACATAACTTCTTTCACAGCTCAGTGTAATGATGAATAGGTAGGATGCTCAAAACAGCCTTTCCTCCTTGATTAAATGCCATGTCTGTTCCAGGAGATATACAGTACCAGTCAGATGTTTGAGTACACCTCCTGGAAACCAGGTTTTTCATGATTATCTGTGCTTTAAACTGTAAAAATGTGTCTATAAACACTTAAATATGTAATTACATGACACGTGTACTTCTAATCTTCACACAATCTCCTCTGAACAATTGATGTTGAAACATCTGTACTTCTAGTTGCATTTCTGACTTTTAACTAACCTGGGCTTCCGACTGAAATCTGCTTGCTTTTGGTGTTTATTTTATTGAAAATGAAAAAGTAACATTTTCAGTGCAGTTTAGTTCAGATTTAAAGTACAAATATGATTTAATTAAATATTTAAGTGTTTATAGACACAGTTTAAAGCACAGATAATCATAAAAAACCTGGTTTCAAGGAGGTGTACTAAACCTTTTGACTGGTACTGTAGATGTAGACAACAAATGGAAAAACAGCACTTTGGACAGGGAAGGGCTAAAAATTGGTTCCAGTAAAACAAGTTCTGATTTATGCAGTTTATCTTTATTTGAAGTTATACATTTTAGTGTACAGTGCATGATTCAGGATATGGTGGTACATGGAATTGAACATTTTTTGACACTTGAGAAATGTCACCCACATGCAGCATTAAGCAATATAATCTTTATGTCGTTAAAAATCTATGACACTAACCACTCCTCGTGTAATTTGCTCTAAAGATTAAAACTGCTTACTTAGTTGGGGTGCAAAATGAATGACAATTTCACAAAGTTATATAATTTATTTTTATGTCTTTTAGTTTCAAGTAAATAATGACTTTCATAAAAAGACGATAACGCACCAATAAAATTACTACACAAATATCATTGCAACAATACAACTCCTATGTAAATAGGAAATATCATTGTATCTACAATACTCATGTATACGTTACTAAAATATTACATCTACAGCACAGTACTAGAAAAAACAGTTAAACTGTATTACAATATTTCTTGTTTGAAAATATCAAAAACAGTAGATGTTCACGTTAATTCCAAACCTAATAAGCAGATAAAGCTTTCTTTGTTTTTTTGTTCTTCTTTAACATCACATTCATAGGCATTTGTAAACCCATTGAAATACTATCCAGGGGGGTCTCAAAATCACTTAATAGAAGTGTATACATTCAACCACCCATTTTCTAACTGCTTTATCCAGTACAGGATCACTGAGGTGCCAGGACCTATCCCAGCAAGCAGCTGGTAAATTGCAAGATACACCCTGGAGAGGATGCCATTCTGTTGCAGGACACACACAGACACACAAGCACAAGCACAAACTCACACCAGTGTCCATTTTCCCTGAAGACAACTTACCAAAGACCAGTATGTCCGAAGAACAGTGGTTTCCTCCCACAGTCCAAAAACACAGAGCACCCAGAGGAAACCTCCACAAACATGGGGGGTACATACAAACTCCATGCAGATAACCCCAAAAAATTAAGCCAGGGCCACAGTACTGCAAGGCAACAGTGCTAACAACTGTGCTGCCTGACAGTTATATTAAAAATTAATTAAAAAAAACCTTCCCAGAATTCATTATTCCACAACCTTTTTTTTTAGTGTACATGGAAGTTGCTTCTGTGCTACCATAAATGTCAAATGATTATTTGTTCTAAGATGTTAACTTCAGTATTTGATACACCATTGAGAAAATGAAATTTAAAGTGATGAATATGTTGAACCTCTTGACATTATTTTCCATATAATCCTCTGAAATACTGACAATCAGGGTAAGTTCACACAGAGTGTACATGCCAGATGCTTTACAGGAATCAAACTTTTTTTCTCTACAAACTAGATGAACCCACCGACTATGGCAAATGTGATGAGCTTTTCTACATTTTGTTTTCAGATAACAGCAAAAAGATCCATTGATAAAGGGTATTACAAAAATTAAATTTGATCACTGTTGATGATGTACATCTTTTTGACTTGGCCTGAACATAAACTTATTTAAACTCCTGAGCAAATAATAACAGTGGAATCCAATATATATACACAACACCTAGTAATCTACCATAATTGTTTATGTCTTAAAAACTCATGAGAACATCTCTCTCCTGCACACTGGTGTAGAAAGGCTTTCCAAATACAAACGTGTGTAGACCAGACTTCAGCTTCTCAGCCAGCGCCATCACGATGCTGAGATCTCCTTCGACTGTCAGATCTAGGTCTGTCTTCAGGCTTCGAAGAGACCTAAATGGCTTCTTCCCCTTTTGTCTAAAAGTGTTCAGAATAAGAAATGAAAATAGACAGCAGTTTTGTCATTGCCATGGTTTTCATTTATATTCAAAAAATATATGTATATACAGTATCACATTCCAGCATTAGGACCACTTTGGGATAGGTGCTGTGGCTCTGAACCCACTACCAGACATTGTGAGTTACAGTATCCAAACTGGACATTGCTATATCAAATACCACCTGTATAAGTAGGTACCATCATTAGATGGGAGTAAATCTGCCACTGATTAAGGGGACTTCTGCACACTCAGTTTAATACAACAAAAGCTGGGATAGGCTCAAACCCATTTGGATGTTCAACTGATGAGCAGGTAATGATCTATGAAGCCCTTGTAGCTGCTATCTATATGATAATAGACTAGGTGGGTCAGAGAGCCTGTCTATGAGAGCTACAAGACAGACATTGGTTTGGAGTACAAGAAAGGCAATAATTATACTGCCACAGGTTTTAAAGTGCTGGTTTCCTACAGAGAACAAATGATGAATGAAAATAAAGCAATGAGCACTTCTAGATTGAAGATTCTAGATTAGTTCATAGCTTTTTTAAAATAAATGTGGGCAAATCATGAAAATGTAAAGTCCAAACATTCATTTTCTAAAATGTACTAAAATACAAATAATATATTAAGGAGACAATTCCACAATACACTGAAGAATCTAACTGAGAATGAAAAAATGTATAAATATATTATATTTATAAATATAATTATAAATTAAAAAATCTCCACATTATCACAGCAAAATCGATGTACTTTAAAATACTTTAAGTTTAATACTCACGTTTCATCATCTATGTATTTTAGTAAAGTGAGTGCTTTCCTGTGAAGGACAAGCATAAACTGAGCAAGAAACGTACTTCTGAGAGACAGCCCAGGCTTCAGATGAAACACCTGTGAAAGAATAAAAAATATATAATGGGAATTATAAGGTGATAAGGAAATAATTCATTCACTAGTAACTCTTAAAATGGGAAATAACATTGAAATTCTATGTGTATTGCATGTACATGTACACCATGTTTATCTCTATTTCTTTCTCATCATTAGTCAAAACTTTAATATTTTTCCCATCTTCTTCTTCTTCTTCGCATTTTCCCACTTTTATGGGATCTGCTTGTTCGCACCGATTTTTCCACTTCGTACTGTCTGCGGCGTCTCGGCAGGTGACTCTTGCGAGGCGCATGTCGTCTTTCAGCCGATCCAGCCAGTGCGTAAATGGTCGTCTACAGGGCCGGAGGCCTTTCTATATAATTCCATTTAATATTGTTCCCATATTGCAGATAATTCAGATAGCAGCTTAATATTTGCAGGCAGTCTGTGACTTTTAAGAAGCCTGTCTTAAAGTCAGTAATAACAGAAAAAAAGTGTACAATTCATTGACCTCATTTGGTTCCTAGTTCTTAACTGATCCAAGGATCCACTAATTTCTTAAGAGACATTATGGGGTACTTTATCCCAGATACCCACAACCCTGGTTTAAAAAATCTACTGTTACCTACAAAAAAAATGCATACGACAAAGTTTCCACTTTTTAAAAGCCTGTGATGAAATTACTTGCATTGATGAGCTGAACATTTCTGAAAAAAGCATAATGAGGCCACTGGAGGCAAGGGAAGTCATCAAAGGAAGTTTGGATTAATAACACAGGAGACTTTATATGCATTACTAATAAATAATTCCTTGCATTTACATAGCATTTTTCATCTGTGCTACATACACTTCCCTCCAAAAGTACAGGAACAGTAAAGTCAAAACTTTATTCTAGTCAAGCAATTTATATTTGTGATCATGAATGATAAGAACAATAAAATATACATTTTGGGGTAATTCATTGCACACATTTGATCACATTAGAACAAAAACATACTTTGTGTTCAATTCAGTGATTTCAAGGGATCATAAGTATTGAAACACTCCCTTTAAGTAACTTTCAAAGAGGAAGAAGTCAGTATGCCTTTGAGGCAATGCCTGAATGAAGTCGGCAACCTATAGAGCTCAACACTCTTTGGACAATCAGTTGAGATGCTGTGCTGAGCCTCTGCTGTAGCAACTTTTGAGTTATTGCCTATTCTTGGGTGCCACATATAACCTGTCCTCCCATCAAGCTACCCAGTTTAACATTTCAGTCAAAAGAAAATGCACATTTTTTTAAACTCACCTGATCTAAAAATGATTTCACAAGTGTGTCTTTATGCATGACATCTTGAAAAATATTCCTGTAAAATAAGAACAAAGACAGTCTGACATCTATTTTCATATATTGCATTTCAAAAGGATGTGCTGTTTGTGAGGTGCATCCCAAATTGGTTTTACCAAATATTATACAAACTAATTTAATAAAATTTTAAGATCAGGGATGTCTGGACTTCTATAGATCAGCTTTGTTAAGCCAAGCCAAATACAGGAAACAATGTAACCGAGATTCAAGCTGAAACACAATACTTACTCCTAAAGGACAAGCTTACTCCACATAAGCTGGATTTGGTATTCTGTGTAGGTGCCTTCTTGTTATTAAAATTAAAAAAAACGTGTGTGTGAATCATGTTAAAATTGTTAGTTGCTGTATTATCGCCCTCTGGTGGAAAGAACGGGATCATTGCAAAACAAAATTTGATAAAGATGAAAAAAGATCAATTGGTCTCCCCTGTTTAGCCTTAAATTAAACAAATTTCAACCTTATGTCTAGTCAGTGAGTCAAAGACCTCTTGACCCCTTTAAGACTTCAGTCCATCTTCTGATTCAGTCAATATCAACTAAATAAAAAAGATGTACATCCAAAAAAAAAAGGATGCAAACTTATTTTTTAACCTGAAAAGAGGATCCTCGGATCAGATTACCTAATGATATCAACCATCCGAATGTCTAACTATACCATTTATCAAAATATTCTTCAGGCACTGGGCTTATAATCTGAGACTCACTGGCACTTGAAAAGTTTGACTTACTTTCTGCCCTACAGTACGCCACAACACACATTAAAAATAAAACATCACAGGACGTACAAGTCAGGAGTGAAAGTTTCATCTGCAAGTATGATGGTATCAGGAGTTATCTCTTCATCAGATGCTGCCTTCCAGAGGGCAGACAGCTCTGATCTCATGTAGCGGCGCTGGTTGTAGATGTGCTCGTGGCAAGGTGGCATTTGCTTCACTGTGTTAATGTCAACGTCGATATGCGTGGTGGGGTACGGAGAATAAAGAACCTGGCGAAAGGGCAGCACAAAACTACCTGTGGCATCCTGCAGGAAAGGACAACAGAAAAAAGATACAACACATATTACATTTAATTCAGACAGCAGCTTAATATTTAGAGGAATACGTGCCTGCTTAATTAATTTCCTTTTTGTTGATAGTTTCATTTGAGTATTTTTTTTTTGTAACGGATTAGTTGATTCACAGGTACATTCCCAGATAAAAATCAAACCTAAAGAACAGCTCCTCTCTTACTATGCCTGCTAATCAGTCACATCATTGTTTATGAACTTTTCAGATTTAGACAGGTAGAATCTGTATCCTGCAATTGATATCTACAGTGTATAAACGTATGAATCTGAAAAGAGATGTTTTATTAGGATAGCACGTTAGAAAAAATCTGGCAATAAAGTTAATTAAACTCCTGTACACCAACCTGTATCTAGGGAGCATTTAAATATTAAATTGGGGAGCTAATTCTGCAGGTTGGGATCAAACTACCTCATCATTTTAAATAAATTTCACTGGGAACATAACCTTCAAAGCGGTCATAAGATCAAATGTACAATCAAGCAAATGAACGTGATGAGCCAAATAACCTTAAATTTAAAATCAAAATAGTCTGTGGAATATCCTGGTGAACAATTAATTATGACAACATTTTTGACCATTTCATGGATTACTTTAAAATACCATACATTATTTTATGTTAACAGAAGGGAAAACCATACAATAGTAAGAAAAGTAGGCAATTTGTAAGAATAAGTGACAGAGCTGCTTCTTTCTCTCAGCTCTGTCCTGGCATGAGCAGCAGGTTTGCAGCTTAAGAAACCTTTCAGAGAGAAAATAAGTGCAGACCTTTGCAAAATGTTGTGAGAATGAAATCTGCTTTGGCTAATTTCACTGTTTCAACAATGATAAAAAAATGAGGTTTTTACTTCTAAAACCACAAGAGGAGTAAGGCCCATTTTACCCATCAAAATAAACATGCTACACAGAGCTATTCCACTTTCTCAGAACAGACACAAACATCCTGGAAGAGGTGCTAGTGGGGCCAGCAGGGGACACTCACCCTGCGGTCCATGTGGGTCCTAATGCCCCAGTATAGTGACAGGAACATTATACTGTAAACAAGCACTGTCGTTCAGATGAGATGTAAAACTGAGGTCCTGACTCTCTGTGGTCATTAAAAATCCCAGGGCGTTTCTCAGAAAGAGTAGGGGTGTAACCCTGGGCGTCCTGGCCAAATATCCCATTGGCCCTTACCAATTATGGCCTCCTAGTAATCCCCCTCTATGAATTGGCTTCATTACTTTGCTCTCCTCCCCACTGATAGCTGATGTGTAGTGAGCGTTCTGGCGCACTATGGCTGCCATTGCATCATATCCAGGTGGATGTTGCACATTGGTGGTGGTGGAGGGGAGTCCCCATTTTCTGTAAACACTTTGAGTGGAGTGTCCAGAAAAGCGCTATATAAGTGTAAGCAATTATTAATTATTATTATTATCCTGTGCTTACCTACAAACAGAAGGTTTTATCATTTTCCTACTGTTGCAGCTATAAGTGACAAAAGAAGTGTCATTAAGAAAACTACATACAAAAGGTAACACCTGGCTAATATAAAAATTTCCAATCTTCAAAGCAAAGGGGATGTTTGCTAAGATGTAGATTCAGGGATCAAAGTAATTGTGAAGTTAACCTTGGTTTAACATAGCTAATTAAGTTCTGGGTCAATCAACAATCCAGGAAGACAGTATATACGTAACTGGCAGGTACAGGAGGAAAGTAGAACACACAAGACAAACAGGAAAGATATCGGAGGCAAGAGGTCCTTGTTCCAGTTCACCCAGGAAGACCAAATTGGAGCTAAGTATTTGTACCTTATTAATATAATTTACTATTTTGTGGTTTATTAATGTTTTCAATAAAGCTGTGCAAGAGAATTTATGTGCCTCTAATTATGGCCACCACTCTGTTATATTCTTGGCAAAAATCTTTACAAGTTGGGGTTATGATTATTTAAATTATTTACTGATTTATCTGCTCGGTCATTTCCTGATATTACCCATTTTTGTAACCACCCATTTGTAACACTCCTAGATTTTTCTCTCATTAGGTCAGCGTTGATATTGGTCTATCATTAATAATAATAATAATAATAATTACTTATTAACCCTTTACAATTTCTTGCATTAGGAATTGTCTTTTCGCATCAGAGTGCAGGGTCAGCCATTGTTGGCGCCCCTGGAGCAGTTGGGGTTAAGGGCCTTACTCAGGAGCCCAACGGAGTAGGATTCCTCCGCCGGCTGTGGGATTTGAACCGGCAACCTTCCAGCCACAGGCGCAGATCCTTAGCCACAGAGCCACCGCTCCGCCATTTGTATTAAGAGATACAAATGGATAAGTCTTGGTTCTCTAAAGACTGGTCCCAGGTACTCACACTCATTGTAAATAACAGCACGTTAATCTTTGACTAAAAAGATGTCTTTGTCCAAGTTTCATTTTATACTGAAACTACACTGTGCCAAGGAACCAAGAAGCCTCATGACCACACTTGCCATTCCCTTATTAATGGGGTGTTTTATTATTTAATTTTTAGAAATGTGCTTGTTAGGCAAACTAGTGTCAGGAAATTTTCACTCTAGTGTGACCAAAGTTTACGCAACACCTTTCCTCCCCCTCGTTGGAATATAGAACATGACTTAAAAATGTAAAAACTGCAACAATTAAAGCGATGTAACACCACTTCACCATTCAATGCTGAGGCACAATTTTCAGGTTTCAAACACTCACAATAGAAAAGACCATTAAAACTAACAAGGTCTGTTGCGAAATCACCTTCCATACAGTAATACCATTGAGATGTCTCCCAGTTTCATCTTCACACTTGTGCAGCCTAAAATCTCTATTAATCCATGCTTGATACACTTCTACAATTCAAGGAAATAAGCAGGATTAATTTAAATTTGTGTTGTGCTTTCTCAGTGGTGGACAAAAACCAGCATGAAGCTTCCCATTACAATCATGGCAATCTAATTAATGGGATCTCTGGGACAGTGTGGTCTCTACTGACAGGTACAAAGTGTGGGTGCAGTAACACAGGAAAAAGCTTTTCTTCTTCTCTTCCAGGTAATTGGCTGTGTTTGATGGGAGCAAACAGAGCCTATTCATTAAAAAGGAACGGTTAATCTTAGGTGATACTCCAAAGGTGAGATTAATCAATGGCAGGTACTTCAGGAAATATTCTGGTCTTCCTTCAACAGAGTTAAGGTCAGTGTGTTGCAGGCAATTTTCTGTCACAGCTGTTTACTTTTGATTAAAAATGTTTATAGTATAGTTCTTACAGTATTCTTACAGTATTATCCATCCGGCAAGCAAGGTGACTGGATTGCAAGCATTGACACCAGCCAATCACAGGACAGATAGACACAGACACAGACACCAGAGACAATTTTCCCAGAAGCCAATTAACCTACCGGTATGACTTTAAACTGTGGGAGTAACACCCGGAGGACACCTATGCAAACACAGGGAGAACATATACACTCCTCGCAGATAGCACCCCAGTTTCAGAATTGAACCCAGGGCCCCAGTGCTGCAAGGCAGCATTGATGACCACTGTGCCACCATGTTGTCCCAATTTACAGTATTGTACTGAATCAAAATACCAAAAATATATTTTCTCTGGTGCTACTATACTGTAATTACTAACTCTTCCTTTTGTCAAAATTTTGAATTTTGAAGAGAAAGCATTCATCACCATTCAATTTGCTGATGTTAAGGAAGGGGTCTACCTTCAGCAGGCCCTGGACAAAGAGGCCGGTGTCATATCTGAAGGATGATTCTCCCCCACAGAGCCGTGAACATTTCCGTTCTGCTGGAGTGAGGAAAAGACAAAGGGTTCGAACAATCTGTAAAAAAAAAGATAAGATCTACTGTCTAAAAGTTGGATATACTGTATGGCTGAGATTGAGTATTAGACTCAATACAACAATTTCAGAATTGAAATCCTCTTAATCTTTATAAGTGGTGTACGGTGCCTTGTAATAGTATCTGATTCTAGCCAATATTATCACATTTTGATGAATTACAAACAACAAACATGTTTTACTCAAAAATATCAGCAAAACCCTTTAAAAAAAACAATCAGTTAATTTCAATTTAAGCCCTAAACCCCTGTTGTGATGGTCTCTGTGAACTTCGTACACACTCTTCCTGCAGAAGATGCAATATTTTATGACATTCAGAACTGGTTTAAACTGGATTAGAAGAATGCTGGACACAAGGGCTACTATGTATTTCTATACTATTATATAGGAATGCGTGCTACGAACCTATGTAACAAATTGTGTTAAAAAAAGTTATCTTTAGCAAATAGGGAAGTAGGAAGATGTGCGTGATTTAGGAACACTGCGAATCTTGTTAGCACAGGGAAGCGTGATGGACAACAGAAAACTTTTTAAGGACTGTTCTAGTTTAATTAGTTTGAGAAAAATACACTAAGCATCTCTGTGTGTTTCGCTCCCATGTGCATGAAATATAAACTTATTTTAACTTCCTGACTGTCCTTTAAGGGGAAGCAGGAAAAAGTTCTCCAGCACCCCTTACATTAATACTTCATGTCCACTTGAGGACATTTACTCTTTTCTGGTCAGACCACTTCAGTGTTTTGGTTTTGATCTTGTGCTTCAAGTCATTGTCCTGCAGAACTGTGAATTTTCAACTGATTTTTAGATTCATGGGCAACTTAAGCATGTTTTCGCCTAGGATTCAACTGTACCTAAAATCATCCATCAGTCATGACGAACTTCCAAGTCCTTTATGATTCTAATAACATGATACAGACATTTTCAATATCAGAGAGAACTTACAGAGACAGATGCAGGAACTAGGATGTCTTTGTCTACGCTGAACTGAAGTTTAAAACAATTATTTAGCACTTGTACTTATTTAGGGTTATGGACGCAAAAGGGCTAAATAGTTATACAATCTCTTAGTCTTCTTTAAAAATCTAATTAACATTAACAAAGTCATACTTGAAAGTGTCATGATTGCAAGCTCAAGCAGCAACAAAATACTTTGCTGAGGTATGAATACTACTTATACATCTACCTCACAATTTATGAGTTTTGCAACTCATATGAATGCTGAACACAGGGTTCATATATTGTGCAATACTACATGGTGCATACACAAAACAGTACACCCCCTTACGATTCTATGGTTTTACATATTAAGATCTACTGAATTAGACCCTCATCTAGTCCTCACCAAGTCCTAACAGTCCATAAATCTAACTTCATGTGACAGATAACACACACAAATTTTACTTTGGCATTACTTATTAAACAAAAAAAAAACAGCCACATTTAGTAGCCTTGTGTGAAAAAGTAAGTGCACCCTTACTTTTACACACTTACACCTTATCTATATTAGGACTTGGAGAGGATCAGGTGAAGATCAGATGTCTTAAGAGTGTGTACCTTTTCACATCACTGTATACCTGTAATACATTGCATTTCATGTCCATGTCATGTTCAGTACTCTCCTGGCTAGATGACACTGTCATTAAATGTTGGTACAAGGAAGGTTGCATTTCAAACTACTGTACATTTATGGATGCTTGAATAAATACACCTCTATGGCCATGGTTGGCATGATTATGGCCAGCATCTTCTTGAATCCACGAGGGTTAGGCCTTACACAACTGATAACATACCACACAAAAACGCAATTGCTTCTAAATTACTGGTCTGGCTGCATAAACACTGGGGTTATCAGCATGAAGTACTGTCCTACTGTTTGAGAATGCACAAGTTCATGCATATGTATTTATAAGAACTGGGGAAGTGGGGATGTAACAATGTATTTTCTTTCATTAGAGAGTTAATGACTCTCTGTGCTAGTCCTATCCGATTTCTATAGCTAACAATTCTGCTGTGTGTTGCCCGTCAATGCTGGAAACATCCATGAAGCATTTCTCCACAAAAAGTCTGTTTAGGGCCTTTGTAAGTTGGTTTGGAAGACATTTGTACATTTTTTTATTTCGAGTATGTGAAATTGGAAATGACAATGTGCATGTTTGAGAGTATGAAGCATGCATTGGCTGGAAAATGAACAAGAAGCTGTATTTACTGTTGCAGTACCTTGTTAACCTTCTCTGGATTGCTCCCCACCACTATAGAACAGCCACATGTCTGCAAGTGTGAACTGATTGCCCTGGAAAACACAGAAGCAATACGAAAATATCTGGATACACTGAACATCATTTGCATGCTCTTAAATGTAAAACAATGTAATGTTTTTAAAAGAATGAATTAATTCATCCTTATAGCCAGTCATAGTGTATGACAAGTAAAACAGCAATCCCTAAATAACACTGCTATTATAAAAAATAAGCACAGTATAATACAAATGGTATATAGTGGAGAACTAGAATATTTACACATTTTTATGGGCACATTCTTTTCCTCCTTCTCAGATTCGTTTAGGTGTTTATCCTGTCCTACACAACTGTTTCTGTACTATTACTTTCTTTACAGTGTTTGTTTAATGAGACAAGCAAATCATACTCTGGCACTGGAGCAGGAGCGATGTGCCTCTGGTAGTTACACAATGGAGGGCCATCACCAGCTGGGGAGGGAGTTTATCACAGGGACAGCAGACACAGCAGGTCTCCAGTTTTAATCCAGAACTGTTCATCCAGTACTGCAGGCCTAACAACTCCACTGCGCTAAACCACTTAGGCAGAAGTCTGGAGCTACTCCATTCCCCTGAGTCAGACTTAGCACACAGTACCTCAAAGCAGGGATTACCGAGGTAAATTTAAAATTTATTTAAATTATCTGGCAACAGAGAGAGTTTGTGATTTATTTGCAAAGGGTAACTAAAAATTGATTTTGTCTTGAATAAATGCTTGTGGGGCAGCACAGTGGTGCAGTGGTTGGCGTCGCTGCCTTGCAGCATGGGGCCCTGGGTTCAAATTCGGATCTGGGGTGGTATCTGTATGGAGTTTGTATGTTCTCCTATTGTTCACATGCGTTTCCTCTGGGTGCTTCAGTTTCCTCCCGCAGTCCAAAGACATACCAGCAGGCTAACTAGCTTTTGGGAAAAATGGACCTGGTGTGTGTGTTTGTGTCTATGTCTATCAGTCCTGTGATGGAAAGGCATCCCATGGTGTGGCTCCCCTGAGACAGTGAATTGGATGAAACCGTTAGAAAATGGATGGATGGCAAATGCTGGTTTACTTAAATACTAAGTTTTAATCAATCACTAATTCCCTTATATGTTAAGACAATGATATAGTCTAGATAATTTCATAGTTCACTTTGGTTTAGTTTACTTAATACAAAGGCAAGGTGCTGGAGAAACTATAAACTATACAGTATATAGTGAATATATATAGCTTTCACTAATGAACCCCATGTAAGTTTTAATTTGATGTAAACCTGCTCTACTTTTTCATACTGAGATCACTAAGCTTAGAAGGATCTGGATTTCCTTGGAAGCAAGCAAAAGGGTGTATACTGACCTGTACAAAAATGCTACTTTGAAATGTTCATCTCCCCTTTCATAAAAGAAATGAGAGCGTATGGGAAGGTTTAAGCAAAGAAATACTGAAATACTATCCCAGAACTTATCTAGTCAAAACATTTTCACATTCTGAGAGCTTACTTGTGAAGAAAATCTTCATGGCAGCTATCTCCAATGTCGTCATCATTTAGCACTGTGTCTTTAATCTAGAAAGTATAAATTGGTTAAAAAACCTAGTGTGAGTGGAGACAGATGATCCAAAACTGTACTAAATTATACAAATTGAAAACCCACAAAGCCACAGACCTTTTATAATAAAAATGACCTTTTATTGATTAAAATGCAAATTATAGTCTAGATTTTGAGCGAGTGAATAGATTTTATCTTAAGAAGGTGATGAATTTTACATAAATTTTGATGCACAATTATAAAATAAAGACAACTACATTTTCTATAAAGATTCTGATATTCTTTGAAATTCTTTTAAAAGACAAAAGTGCGTGATTAAAGGTCAAAGACACCACCTTGCAAAATGAGTGGACCGTAATAAGAATTCATGACTTGCACACCAAAAAAAAACATAAACAGAGCTGCCTTTTATCCAATAATCTATTAAATTGTGAAGGCAGGAAAATGTCCATGTTTATTGGTGCAGACCTCAATAGAATACTTTTTACTTTGTTCTTTCAAAACCCAAAAGGTGGCTCGTTTTTTATGAGTTTTTATTGCATATATTTACATATCTAGAAAGATTGAATAATATTTCTAAAGAACCTCCAGAAATAAAGCTAAATATACTTTAATGAGGTATTTTTGTCAAAATCTTAAATTGAGCTAAAAGAGATTAACACATTATTATTATTTGAATACCTTTATTCCCCCAAGAATGGCTTGTGAACAGAGGAGTAGGAAAACAAGAATAATTCTGTTGTTTTATTAAACACTAGCAGGTCCTGAATATTATTCTTTCTTTATTGCTAGAGCTGGGTGATACAACAATACAGCACTGTGGAATATAGTGTTTATGATCTGTTGGCTCACAAAAATAATTATATTATTATTGGTAACTACCAGCAAATACTAGTAATGTGTCTTAATCCTAAGTATCATAACAATAGCAATTATAAAATAACAATCAAGAATGCTGAAATAAACGCAAATGCACCTTCCACTCCTTGATAATGCCATCCTGGTTGTAATGTCAATCTTTCCTTTTGAACTCACAGCAAGCTAACATTTTATAAAACCACCTCTGTGGCAGAGAGGTGTCACTGTGGCTAAGGATCTGCGCCTGTGTCTGGAAGGTTGCTGGTTCACATCTTGCAGCCAGCAGAGGAATCCTACTCCATTGGGCCACTGAGCAAAGCCCTTAACACCAGCTGCTCCAGGCGACCCTGTGCTCTGACCCCAAGCTTCTCTCTACCCGTCTGTGTGTCTGTGTGTCTCATGGAGAGCAAGCTGGGGTATGTGAAAAGACAAATTCCAAATGCAAGAAATTGTATATGGCTAATAAAGTGATCTTAACTCTTACTGCCAATATCAATGCCTTTTCCCAGACATCGTGTTAAAATGAAAAAGAATTTTAGCCCCTTATGTCACATCAACTTAAAGGGGAACTGCAGTCCCAATTTCTCAGACTGGTTATTAAATCTTAGAAACAAAATAAATTCATTGACGGTATAGAAATGTTTTGGAAATTTCGAATTAAGCGCAAAATCGTGTACTTTGATGCCATATTGTTGTGAACCTGTGGTCTCACCACAGGCAAGAACATGATGCAGCCCTTCCTGCTCAGTGGTCACCTTAATGACTAATGTAATGTGACGTAAAAACAAATAAGTACAGGTTGTGCAGCAGATTTCACTGCAGAAAGCTTCCAGCGGGATCTGCTTGCAGAGTTAAGAAGTAAGTTCCATTTACTGGCAAAAGCATCTCGAAATCGAGAGCAATATTTCTATTAGTTTTCACAAGCCTGCTTCCTGCTCTTGTACATTATTATAGGGCCGCCTGACGTCATCGGAAATGTTTTGCTGCCTCGTTCTGAATTGCAGAACAATGCACTGCTTATACCTGGAAATGTTGTCTATTTTGTGATGGTAATTGGAGGTTTTACAATTGCTGTGTACCTTTTACTTTTTTTGTGGTTTGAAATCCACTCACCAATGCTGATTCTTTCTAACCCCAAAATATAAAAACAGCATTGCAGTTTCCCTTTAACTTTACTCATGAATACTGAGATTTTGTTCCCTCTAAGACAATAAACAAAAAAGCTACATTACAATAATTTTTAATATTTAATTTAATGTATAATTTAATGCACCTTGCTTGAAATCATATGATATTTAAATTATATTTCCTATATATTACAATAATAGACAATATATAATATAACGGCTAAAATATTGTCATATGCCCTTTCAGCAGCATTACCACCATGTTGACTGATGTTGTTAGGAAACTATGTAAACCAGACCTGGTTAATGTTGAGATGGGAGACCTCTAAGAAAAATTGGAATGCTGTTGTAAATGGTGTTGATGGACCAATCGTCCATTCCTATGGACCAGAACATCCAAAAAACTGCCCCAGTATGTTAAATGGGGAGGTTCCATTCTTCAGATGAGTCTTTGAACTAATGTGTTTTAAGTCATTAAAGTCTGTTTGTGAAGGTACTGGTGTTAACACTGGCTTCCTGACCTAATTCTACAGTACTATGGGCTTGTTCGGTATAGCCTAATTAAGGCTCCCTTTAAGTCACCTGATCGGCAGTCATTATTTAGTGGAGTTTTGGCACTTAACAGTTGGAATGTGTGTCAAGGGACTGTATTTCACTTCAGTGGTGGATGATTTGGGTTCATATCTGTGTAAGTTTTAAGATCCTTCACAATGAAAAGTGCTGTGTAAACACAAGTTCTTAATTACTACTTTGGGCAAAAGGGTTCTCTTTCTGACCATGTCTGTAAGGCTACAAGCTAACCTTCATGTGCGGGCACTTCAACCCCCTCTCTCATTTCAGCAGGCAGGAAAAAAAGCACATCTTCACAGGCAATATAAAATCATGTGCCCTAAGGAACTTTTCAAAACAAATGAGAATCGTAACTCACGTCTATGTGCTCTGGAACACTGTGCGTCTTCATAGAAGAAAGGAGATCCATTATAGGAATAATTTCAGTGTTCAGTACTGATATAATGTTGTATCCCTGTAAAAAATAACAGATACTTGCTTCGTAAGCCAGAACACATCACTGAAATACTACTCGCTTAAATATTTCATAACCCCCTTCGCATTCTTCATAAGGGTATAGCCATTAAAGAACTGATGAAGATGAAGCCCTTGACATCTACAATCTAATTTCTCCTTTCTCCCTCTTGTCCTCTCCAGTCTTCTGCTGCTTAAATATTCCTTCTCTTCACCATCCTGCCTCTCATGCCTCTTTTGCAACCCTGTAGTGGAACCAGATGCCAGAACACTTACAAACTTGGAGAAATTCACCAGTTAAATTAAGTCAAATGATGTTCCAGTCACCTCCTCATCCTGTTCATCTTTCAGATCATAAAAGGGGACCACATGCAACTCAGATTTTAATTTCAAAAAAGTTTAGCACTGGAAATTAGACTGCATATCTATCTCTGTGCAGCTTGATGGAATAAATTGGCTTCTTCTCATTTGTAGGTCCTTCCTAATGTTCTGTTCTCCACTGTGAACTGATATTTTGACCCTTGAGATATTTGTTCCCTAGCATGCTTTTCTTTTATTCCTTTCCATTTCTTAAGTTATTAGTTCTCTGACACATAGAGCAGACCTCGTTAATCTTTCCTCGTAATTGTTCTGTTTCTCTGTAGTCTAAGAGAAATGCCATGGCTGTTTCTGTCTTTCCTTTGAGAATACTTTTATTTATAAAATTATACTGTACTTTTTTTTTACCTGAAGGTCAACACTTGTCCATTTACACTTTATTTTACTATAGAATCCTTTCCTTATATTGTTCATCTCTAATGAGATTAAAATCTACATTACAAGGCATTCTTTCAAACTTTCCCAACTTAGCAGTGTTAAAATGTAGCACCAGTCTCTCTCATTACATGTGAGACCGCAAGAAGAAAGTAGAAATTAATTTCAAATTTGTGAAATCTAGCTGTCTCTTGTTTCCATTGTACTCTGTATACTTTATTCTCATTGTAATTGGTGTACTTCCCTATTTATTCAGCTTATGTATATAAAGCCATTGGCCAAAGCGAGTGGTTGGGCTTATCACATTGGGCATCTCCAGGGGGAAAAAAACATAGGCTCCATGTAGAAATGGGCAGTATAACTGGTATAGATGGTATACCAGTAGAAATCTGTGCAACAATATGGATTAGGCTATACCATTTATACCGGCAGAGAATGGATTTTATTGTTTACATAGATTGCGCCGCCAGAATCTTTGCAAAACGGGGTTTGGAAATTTTTACTATTGTAAATTCGGCCATATTTTAGATCCGATTATATAATTCTGAAAATGTTATTCCTTCTGATATTTGGAAATCTGATAGGTTCAGAATTATTGATCTTCGGTTTATGACACATCTGAGGTCATTGTGGCCAATAAAAACACGCGGGCGTCCTCTTCCCTTTTTTCCGTGAAAACAAATGCACGTGGTCGGTGTGCCTGTCTGCAAACACAAACACGCCAAGAAATTGAGAAAGGCAGTGTTAGCGACAAGGGGACAAGCGACGAAAGTGTTGAAAAGAAGAATGCTTCACTTTATTGGCCATATGCATTTCTTGTATTAGCAATTTGTCTTTTCACATACCCCAGCTTGCTCTCCATGATGAGACAGTGCTTCAGGTTGTTTGGAAATGGTTCAGATATAAAAAGTCAGACCACAAGCAGAAAACGGTTATCTGCAAACTATGTCAGGTGACGATTTTGGCCAGAGGTGGTAATACAAGCAACCTCTTCTATCACCTAAAGACGAAAGCTGTATGCAAGTATGAGGAAAGTACAAGAATGCGCTCTAAACCAATCAGGCTGCACGAAGTCAATTTTCCAAGAGTGTTCAAATTGGCCAAGAAATGCCTCTGCATACCTGCGATCTGTGACAGGACACAATGTTGCCACCAGTGCACGTTCAGCACTGGTGGCAACATTGTGAACTGTCACACATCTGCACTCAAGCCAGACACTGTTGACAAGCTTCGCTTCCTGGCACGTAATCTGTAACCTGAAGTACAACTCAGTGTGTGCAGTGCACCTTCTTTTCCAAATGTTTACAGTAAGCAGCCGTTTGAATACTTGAGGAGTTCTTACTTTCATGCTAGAATTTTTTTGAAACTTATTTTTGTAATTTTATTTTGTTATAAGAAGTATTACATATTTATTTATTTAATCCATGCTCGTACGTTTTTGTATTGTTTCACTTCTGCAAAATAAAAATGTGCGACTTCTACTTCAGTTCAACAGGAAATTTAAAAAATACTGAAGGAACAACACAGGAGCTAACCAACAGTTAATAGTAACTTAACAGTTAACTCCAGGCAATAAAAACTTAACAATAAACAATAAAAACTTAACACAGTTTGCATTGTTTAGTCTGAACAGAATTTGTTGATTCTGACTTGCTTGTGGTCTTTGACTCTGAACACAGAAAAGAAACGAGATTTTTTTATTAAGAAAATGGGAATGCAGCCAAAGAAATATAATGCGTTATATAGCAGCAGAAATGCATTATGGCTGTTTGCGTTTGCCCTCTTCTGTGGAATGGGAACCAGCTGTAGATCACTGGTTAGATTTATATTGGACTAGCGAGTAAACTTGTATGGAATTTTCTGTTAACAAATATGTACTGTAACTCAATTTTCAGGTTAGAAATGAATACATAAATGTACACTTTCACCACAGTAGCAGTGATGCAGGGTTAAACCACCAGAATTGTATTAATTTTCTGTATTGGCTGGAACCCAAACCCATTTTTATGGGTAAAGGGAGAGTTAGCACATCATGGCAGATCATTAATCTATCACAGCACATTGAGTCCCTTAAGAGAAGGCTAATTTTTAATTCCAAGCAGTCCCCCTCTCAATGTTCTTTTAGACTGCCTTTGCTGCATCACTGGAGACCTCCTGAGGACAAGGAATACTACTGGGAAATTGAAACCAAATAACGAGTCGGAGTTTATCCACTTTTCATATCATTTCTTAATACCGGGGCCTGTGAGCAAAAGAACAATTCTACCTTTTTAATTCCCAGCACACCAGTGACTGCAGTGACAGGAAGCCTACAAACTACTACTCGCACAGAAAACATGAAATCCAAATTTATTAAGCCATCAGTGTCTAACTCAGAGAGCCTGATTTACAACTCCTGTCAAAACAATTGATCCCATTTCTCTGGAACCCGATCCAAGTTATACCTTTTTATAAATTACAGATGTTTTTTTTTATATATATATATGGTAAGTTTTGACTAAGCTACTGCACTGAGCAGGAATAATTCAGTTTCATCCTCAACTCCCCTTGTTTGAGAAAACGGATAGACAACCACAGCAGTTAAACAGGACAAGCCCGAGCGGGACATTGGAAACTGCCCACCTTCTGCATCCATATCCTTCCTTTGCGAATGATGTGCTTCAGTCTCTCCACGCAAACCGTGTGCAGAGGCAGGTAAAAGCTCAGCTCGGTCTGAGGCAGGATGATGGAGAGGGCGCAGGTGTTCTTGTCCCCCTTTAGGTCCCCGTCGAAGATCAAGGACACGATGATGACCCCCTTCTCCGCCAGCACAAAGAACTTCACATCCACGGCTCCGCACTCGGCGCTCCGCAGGATCTCCCCGTTCAGGGTGTGGTTGGCCAAGAACGTGATCTCGCCGTCGCTGAGAAGCACCTGCTCTGACTTCGGCGCCCAGATGTGCCGCACTCTCGGGCCCAGGATGTTGTCCCAGTAGGCAAAGGTGGCGGCTAAGAGCGGCGACTTCCCTTTCAAAACAACCTCGGTCTTAGCCACGGCTGGGGACTGGGGTGGGCAGCCCGACGACATCTCCGAAGGCTTCCAATTATTTCCGAGCCACAGCAGCAAACACGATGGGGTTTTCCATCACATTCAAGCTGCAGAACAAGAACAGGCAGTGTGAGCAATAAGGCACTTTAGTACCATTTTAAGCTTAAGAGCCTAGTGCTCCTCAGCTCCTTAGGACCAAGGTCCAGCAGGCATGGGTGATGTTAAATGCCTTCAGATCAGTGAGTAATTGATTCATTTATTATAATCTTAAATCAGGAATTTTAGTGGCATCAGCCCAAAGACTCATTAACCTTTGAACAGTAAAGAGGGTACCTTTTCAAGGCTTCCACACAGACCACGGTACAACCAGTCTTTGCCAAATGTGAACAAGTTCACTGTACTCTGTCAATCCACTCTAATGTTAAGACAGGTTAGGTGCAGATCTAGACCCTATCTGCTCTGTATTTAATCTATATAATCTAATTTTTAACTGAATTAAAACAGCTATATATAGTTGAAGTTGAAAACATATCATACATGGGAACCAGAGCTGAGCCAATCTCAAAGAGTAGACTAGACTTTAGATCTAATTCAGATTGTATTCAATAGTGCAGTCAGTCAGATGTGGATTCTACAAGAGTCTTTATCTATTTATCCCCCACCACATAACCTCCAGTATCCCACAGTGCTTTGCTACCATGGGCAAATGGACCCCACCTTCAATGCAACTTCAATTTCAACTTGAAGTACGTTTATTGGCAATTCTGAAAAGTGGTGGGCAAACTACATGATCTGATTTTGAAATGAAAGCACTCAGGCATGTATTTATGCTTGAAGCTATTAAATATATCCAAAATATACCTGTGAGTGTACTCCTGCCATCTTCTCAAATCACTCCTGCCTTTTTTAAGCCGTAAAACATATTAAACATGGCATTTTTCCATGGACATGGACTCCATCATAGATTTTTATATAGACATTTCTATATGAGAATGTTTATGCATTTTTAAAACCGTAAGTGCACGGTGGAATATTTCACCATTATCCTTTTGCCTACAGGGAACTGTAACCAAAGTGTCTTTTAATAAGTGTTGACATAGTAAACCTGACTAATGAGAAAACCATTCTTCGGAGTGGGCGCACTGATTAATTGGATTAATTATAGCACTTTCAAAAATGAATGAGCTGCCACTGAGTATAACATTCAGAAACTGTTTTTGGTGGTGGAATTAAAGTATTGTTTTAATATATGGGCTTTAGTGAGTGAAGCTGAGTAAAGCTCTTGAGTTTTTGCTGTTAACGTTTACGCATTGAATGAAATAAACACAAATCATGACTTCCCTTTGCATATATTGTTCCAGTTAAAAATCAATTAAACCATATTCTACGTTTTTTGTGTGCAATTCAATTGTATATTTAGTTTCCATAGATTTAGTGCAGACTGATTTTTAAAACAGAAGAGAAGGACAACACGTAAGCAAAAACATTTTTCTGTGTAAAAAAAACAAGGGCCTTAAAATTATTGATTCACACGATTTAAACACTAAACCGTATAATCGTGATCTCTAATCTCAATCTGAAGAATTACTTTATCGCACTGATTTATTGTAATGAAATGCAGACCATTATAAAAAATATAATAATTATTCATTTTAACTAATAATCTCACGAAAGCCTAGCTGAGTGGAAAGAAACTAAACAATATGTAGACACAACTTCTGTTTAGGTTTTTGTTTGTATAGTTGCAGACAATCGTCATACGATGCAAACACAATATTGTCTCCAGTATATTAATCTCGATGTGCTAAATCTTCTTGAAGAAACCGCTCAGAAAGGGTCTGGAGTATAGCCAACTTACTCCAGTAAAACTGAATAAAATGAATACAGATATTAAAAATAAAACGTTATTCATACAACTTTAATTCCCGTTTCCAATACAGAACATTTGCAACTGCACTTACCTCTCTTTTGCTGTTTTGTATCACTTCCCGACTTCGGAAGTCAACAACGCTGAAAAGGGAAGACGCGTGGCTCTTTCCTCAGATCTAAAACCTGTACTGCCCCCTAGAGGCAAATTAATAGTTTTAAAGCCTTCTATTACTGTATTGAGATTATTTTTTATCTACACACTTTCAACACGGAAGCTTTAATTTCCCATTATTTCTCTTTATTTCTACATGGAGTCTCCCCCCCACCCCTTTTCATTCCTTTCCTTGAATGAAATGAATGAGATCAACTGATTATATATCAGATAACAAAAACAGTAAACAGTAACACCTACGGTTTTCAATCATTTGATTTTGGTATTTCCATAGACTTTTTAAATGGTAATAAACCATATGTTTCCAAGCAAGCAACGGGTTTAATGGCAGGATACACCCTGGATGGGGTGCCAGTCAATCACAGGACAGATACAAACACAAACCCGCACACACTCTAACTAGGACCAATTTCCCCAGAAGCCAATTAACCTACCAGTATGTATTTGGACTCTGGAGGGAAACCAGAGCACCCAGCAAAAAGCCAGGAGAAATTTAAATCACAATATGACATTAAGAGCTATCTAAACTAAACTTTGTTAAATTGCATTTGTGGTGAATCACTACATTAATATATATATATAATAAAACATTGTGTGTTATTTCTAGATCTTTTGTGCATAAATTTAATTTCTTAAACTTCTTATTTATGTTTTCAGTGCATCTGATAAGTACTGAAAATACCCCCCCCCCCCCCCCCAACTAATACTTTGTGGAAGCACCTTTTGTATTTATTAAAGCAGTAAGTCTTTGTGAATAAATCTCCATCAACTTTGCACACCTTGACTTTGCAATTTTACTCCCATCTTCCTTGCAAAAAAAGTTCAAGCTCCTTCAAAATGTGCACAGCCCTCTTTAGGTCATTCCACAGGTTTTCTATGGGATTGAGGTCTTCTGACTGGGCCATTCCAAGACTTTGATCTTCCTTTTCTGAAGCCATTCCTTGGTTGACTTGAATGTGTGCTTTCGGGTCGTTATCATATTGAGGCCAGCAGGTTTTGTGCTAAAATATCTTGATATTTGGAGCTGGTCATTATCCCATCTATCTTGACCCAAAAGCACGATGCTGCCACCACCATGCTTCACAGTGGATATGGTGTTCTTTGGATGATGAGCTGTGTTGTCTTTGCACCAAACATATCTTTTAGAATTAAGGCCAAAAAGTTCAACCTTTGTCTCACCAGACCATAATTGGTTTTCAAAGATTGAAAAATGCCTGACATGTTTTATCTTGATTTCTGGCTTTACATCACAAAAACCTGCAATTTCAATAAAGGTGTGTAGACTTTTTATATCCGCTGTATATCAGGATTGAAAAATAATTGATATTTTTATTTTTTTACTATTCTCAATGTCATGATAAAGAGAAGCAAACAATGTTTAAACTTTAAAATACTGTACCTGCTCATCTACATACTGATAACTTGTCTTCAGAAGTGTGCAGTTTCATTTTAATCCTTTGATTGGTTCTAGCATTTTTCTCCTCTCTTCAATAGGATGAAGAATGGTAGAACCACCTGCAAGCATCAATCAAAAACTCTTCAATAGCCTTTTCTTTACATAAGATCCCCCATAGTGATGATCCTGCACCAAAGATAATCCCTGCAGGCACACTGTGTTTTTCTGTTGTTATTTTCACTCTCTGTGCTTAATGGTTCTGACAATTTGTGTCACAAAACTCCAAGTTAAATGTTTGTAAAATTTTGTTGGAGATATTTTTCTTCTAGTTCACTCATCTCTCCTTTTTTGTTTGCTTTGCAAAACAACTTGAAGAGCCACCCCTATCCATATCAGTAACCAATTAGTCATGACAGGTGAAGTGTGGTTGTTACAAAAATAAAAGGTAGGAGACTTACCTTACCGACCTGGTGAATTGATAGTGAAAAGTTACTGATACTTGGCAAAGCAGCATTTTCACTTACTCTGGGACATTCTGGCCATCAATTAACAATTTTCACATTTGTTTTCTTTATCTCAGTTCTTTTTCTCTCTGCTTCTAAAATTTTTAACACCTGCTGTCAAAATATCAATGTTATTTTGAAATGCATAATATCAATATGACCTTACAATGCTTGTATGTGAGAATGATGCTGTTTCTCTAATAAAGATTAGGTTCTTCTTGTAAATCTACTGAGAGAGAGTTACATACTGTACAATATCTTCTTGGTTACACTTCCTTTTCAGTACAGGACAGGCATTGCTGAGGTGAATGCATCCTCTTGTCAAGGATGTTGGAAGGGACCAACCGTGGAATGACAGGAGAGCGAAAAGACCCTATGCGTAGTGGCGAGACGGGGGTTAGCCCGGGCTCAGCTGTCCAGGAAATGCCGAATAGAAACCTATGCCCTCAGGTAGCGGACGTGGGGCGACCTGGTGCTAGGCAGGTTTCAGGACATCTGAACGTCAATGCCGAGCGAAGGCAAATGAAAGACCCGGAAATATATAGCCCCAGAGAGAGAGACACTGGAAGGACAGCAAAGAACCGGAAACAAGAGACAGGACAGAGTAGGAGTGCCCTCAGGCTGTAGAGGGCGTGACACCTTTTTCTTGAAAAAAATTAATAAAAAAGACGAAAACAGAACACAATCACTAAAGCAATTCCCGAATCTCTCCCTAGTGCTAAAAAAAAGTCATTGACAGCAGCTATTGTCATCAAGAGAGGCCAATTATATAAAAAAATAAATAGACAGTTCAAACCCTTCCTAGCAGAAGTGTCCATCTTATAAGCAGGAGATCAAGATATCAAATACCAGACCTGACAGAAAAAAAAATCATATCTTCATATTGGTAATCATGGGCTTTTAAACTTTGTGCTTGTCTTAATGTGAGGTTTGATCTGTCATGTTGTGGATAGTATAGGACACATTGCTTTCTAATCTTTTGCGTAATCAAAGGCAAACCCAGCCAAATTAGGTTTGCTTCACAGTGCACAAAAATGTATGAGAATTAATACATTGTCTCCTCGCCTGCTAATTGTAAAACCATGCTTTTTATAAGCTTTCTGCAGCTGAATTTCTGCCTGGCCAAGATTTTTTCTTGGTTCAGCAATCATGGTGTCTTGTTCCATCTTGAGATTACTGGATCTACAATCCCTCACATCCTTTTTTCACTAAACAGAACAGGCTTGTTGACCACTGCTGAAGTTAGCAAATCCTGTGCCAACCTCTGCAACATTACAGGACTTTGGTTGCATTTTTGTCTAATAATATTTCCTACTCCAGCATTAGTTCTATGCTGTCCTGTTAGCATCACTATTCACCTAATCATGACTAGACAATGGTGACCTCTCTGAAACAATCTCTTCTGGATTGATTGTCTTTAATATTCAATCCTTAAGTAACAGAGCTCTGATTCTCAATGATCCCATAATTAAAAAGACAGTGGATTTCCTTTGTCTAAGTTAAACTTGACCCCTACTGAATAGCTGTTTGGTGCTGAATGACATTCCAGTGTCTTCTTCTTCTTTTTCACCGCCTTTGTCCCAGACTGTCCTGGGGTCAGCTGCTTTGGTTGCTCTTCTCCATTTGTCTCTATCGAGCACATCTTCCTCACTCACTTCACATACCTCCATATCTTTTCTCACACAATCTATCCATCTCTTTCTAGGCCTGGCTCTTCCTCTGTTACCTTCAAATTCCATTACCCTCTTTGTTACTTCCTCAACGTCCCTCCTCATGATATGTCCATACCACCGTAACCTCGCCTCTCGCATCTTCTCAACCACATCCACCACCCTACATTGTCTACGGATTTCTTCATTTCTGATCTTATCCTTCATTGAAATCTGCAGAATCCATCTCAACATCCTCATTTCAGTTCTTCTCATCAAGTTCTCTTCCCTCTTTCCAACTGCCAAGCATTCAGCTCCATATAGTAGTACAGGTCTAATCACAGTCTTGTACATTTTGCACTTTAACTTTCTGGGAATTTTCCTGTCACAGATTATTCCAGTTATTTCTCTCCACTTGTTCCATCCAGCTTTCACTCTTTGTTTTACTGCCTCCAGTGTTTCTCCTCCCTTTACCAGTTTTGATCCAAGGTATTTAAAGTCATCAACTTGTTTCAGTTTTCCTCCATTTGTCTCCTCAACATTGGTCATAGTATCTCCTCTTCTCTCCATTACCATTATTTCAGATTTTTCTGCATTCATTTTCAGTCCACCCTTTTCCAGACTCCTCTGCCATTTGAACACTTTCTCCTGTAGTTCTACTTCTGAGTCTGCCATCAGTGCCACATCATCAGCAAAGATGAGTTCCCAAGGCACTTCTGTTCTTACCTCCTCTGTCAGTGTGTCAATAATGTTTATGAAAAGGAAAGGACTTAGTGCTGATCCTTGGTGTACTCCAACTGTGATTTCAAACTCTTTTGTCTCTCCCTGTTGTGTTATCATCTTCGTAGTTGCATCTCTATAGGTTGCTTGAACTAAGTTCACCATGCTTTCTGGTACTCCTTTCTTCCTCAAGCACCAATACACAACCTCTCCGGGCACACGGTCATATGCCTTGACATTCCAGTGTGATATGACTAAATTGAAAAATCTTGCAACTCTAGATAGGATGGTAATTTAGTAGTCATTCATCGCTTAAATGTTAATCTAACTATAATTTCTGTACAGAATGCTAGATTTCTTTTTACTAGTTTTCTACCAGTCTAGATCTATTAACTCTATTAAGACCAACTGAAGCTCACGCTTTCACAGGTTCTATTTCCTTTTATTGATGTGAAGCTATTGTATGACTGCGGTGTAAACTAAAATCAGACCTACTGTGTCTGGGTCCTTATTCTTACATCCCTACACAAAGTTATCTTATCTGCTTTTTAACGATTTGTTCTTAATTTCATCAATTAATCACAGAAATTAGGTGTTGTTCCTATTGGTTTAAGGTGTGTTGGTGTCACACCTATTTCATCTACCAGGTCTTTCAACATCTAGCATCCCACAGTATTTCCACAATGTCCTCAAAATAATTCTGGAATGGTTATTGGCAGCCGAACTGAAACATCATCTTGC